ATGTTAAACTTTTTATTTACATGTGCATGTATTTATCTATTCTTATACCATCGTTCCACTTTTCTCATGATAATTTATCAACTGTATCAATGAATTCACTCTTGTTTTTTAATTTTAATTCAAAATATAGAATATAACGAATAATCGAAAATGGGCATTTATTGCAATACCAAATAGATGAACCAAATATTTATAAAAATTACACATGCCCATATTTCAATGTATCCCTTAAAAATGCATAATGAAAAATACAAATATGACTGGAAAATAAGATTACGAGAAGTTTTTCTTTCTCTCTCAAAAAAAAAAGATTATATTTATAGAAGAAACTTATTTTTTCATTGTATGAAAACTAACTTAAATTGTTCAATTAATCAAATTCTTACGACACATTCTTTACATGTTTTGTAATATAAATAACATTTAATATACTCATGCGTTAAGCATTCCAAAGTTACACTGACAAATTGACAATGATTGATGTAATAGAATCTAACTTATTTCAAATTAACAAAAAAGTTAACAAGATTACGATATTTATCTTATTTACTTTCCTAAGCAAATATGTTTTAAAATTGAATATTCACTACGAAAGAGACAATGCTTATAAAATTGAACTCACCATGCGATAGGTCTCCGAGCCTTAACCCCGACAGGGCGTGTCCATTAGATTTATCATCCCGTGTCTGAGTGTAGCCATAGAGGACGCTGTCAACTTCCGCCTGCGAAAAGTTGTAGGTGGGTACCCCAATAGGGGGCGCTAGTCGAACAGGGTAGGTAGGGGGCAGCAGGGGGGATGGAGCGGTAGATGCTGGCACCGTAGGGTGGTGCTGAGGGGCAAGAAACATTGGGGTGGAGAAGGGGAATCCATGTCCTCCAACTGTAAAACGCTCCACAGGAATTCTGAAAAAAGACATATTTTCTTAATTTTTAAAAAAAATTATATTATTTATTTAAAAAAATAATTATATCTCCATATTAAACAAAATAATGCAAACGTTTTTCACTAAATATGAACATAAAATAAAATACTGTTTGCCGTTTTAATATTTAAAAATCTGAAAAATATAATCAAAAAGAATTTCTTCTTATAAATTTTATATGCTTTAAAAATTTTTTAAGCAAAGAAATTCTTTTTGATTTTAATTTTCAGATTTTTAAAAATTAAAACGGCAAACAGTAATAAAGTATGAATATACTCAGATTCAAATTTATGAATTTTGTAAAATGATTAGATTTTTTCTAGACTTACCCATGAAAGTGTGCGTTTGCAAATCTTTGTGTAAAAAATGGAAATATATTATGTCTTATCTGATCCATTCCTTACAGTATCTTGCCGTTAGTACCCTCGACTGTACATATACTACCAAGGTCTCGGATTCGTAATTTTTCTTGAAATAAAGCGGTCTATGAGCCTGCGCAAATACCAGAAAGACATTCCGAAATCGAAGATGTTTACACACATAATCTTGCTTCGGGTTCGGATTAAGTGGTAGTTAGATCAAATTAAGAGCTCATGAACATATTAAAAACAAATAGAGGGGCGGACTTAATACTGACGCGCCTTTGTTCAGTGGTGCAGATTGTAACGCGAGCGTGTCAGAGTCAACACGCCCCAGTGGTCCGATTGTACGACCTCACAAAAGCACCCTAACTCCCCAGCGGAAGGTTTCTGTCATGGTATTTAGATTAAAATAGAAGGAATAATGCCCCTTATAATTAAATATCAGTGTCTCGAAACCTTTTTAAAAGAATCGAAAACAAATATTACGCTCTTCATTTTGACGGATCATTTTCTATTCAAGTCTGAACCGGGATGTCTCTATTCTCCTTTATCGCCTGCATAAACGTATGTTTTTTGGTAAAAAAGAAGAAAAAAATCTTCAAATTCAAATATCAGCTTCTAATAAATAAAAACTGTATATTTCTTTTGACAATTTACCCCCTCCCCCTTGCCTTTAAACTGTAGTTTTCAAACTGTCACTTTAAATAACTTTTTTTGCATTGATTAAATTTTATTAAACAATTTTTAAAATAACAAATTTAACATGGACATTCTTCAAAAGAATTAGCGGGAAATTTAATGATGAAAAAAAATTCCGCGTTCTTTGATAAAGGTAAGATTTATCATCTTTATAAAAAGAAGAAATCAATCTAATTGCACGCTGCTATTCACAGGTAGCCTAGATTTTAGGACTGCTGACACTAAGGAAGAACTGGGCAATCTGTCTTATTTTTAAAAATTGATTTTTGAAGTTTGGCATGGCCGGAAATTGATAGTCTAAAGAGTAAACAATTCTTTTCCCCTTTTCTACCATTTATTGAATTGATAAACTTTGTAGAAATACATATCTCTGCTTATTAGAATATATATTTCGATTTAGTAGGAAAACGGTATTTTATATTATTAAAAAAAATATTGCGAATATTTCCTATTTTCATTTTTCTTATTCGACCAGAATAAGATTAAAAAAAAAAATATTTTTATGATTTTGTAAATGTATACTAAATAGACCTCATGAATTTTATCGATATCACAATGTTTCAAAATTCGATTTTCAAATTTCCTATGCTTTTAGATGAAAAAGGGACAAAGAATCAGCATTTACCTTTGCACAATGCAGGACATTGGTTATCAATTAGAAGCCTTTCCTGTATATTGTAAGAGATAGACTGAACATTAAATTTTAATTTTTTTGAAACATTTAAATACATGTAGTACAAACCATCTGCAACGGATCTGAACAACATGAGTCACCTTAAATCGCTGATCAACAATCCAAGCAATCTGTCGACTAAGTATCCTAATATTTGCCTATTTAGCATACCTTTACAGATTGTTTGTATCCTTTAAAAACTCTAAATAAATACTTCAAACGGGATCCATCGCTCGCCGCGTTCCGGAGATTTACGGACCCCGGTTCTAACTATTACCATGTTGCCCCTAAAATACATGGTTAGACCACATGGGAAAATGTTTTTCTTTAGGATACCAGTTTGCTTTTAGTTTTAATGTAGCTTATGTAATTCTTTGTCAACAAACACTTTACAGATCTGAAGTATTATACCCCTTTCGTTTTCCTAACTTATTCGAATGAGATCCAAAAATTTATATAATTTTCTTTGAGGATCTTATTTGTCTCGAATGACAATAAAACAAGTCACGTATCTTAAAGGGAAGGGGATATTGAACGAATTATAGATTTAGGATTTAAACACACTTTCAAGAAAACATGCAGGAAATACATATAATACCAATTCGTATGACGAAAAAAATCTTAGTAAATCGAAGAATGTACGCTTCTGTTGATACCTCACATTTTTCATATCCTATAATTAATGATTTAGGATTTAAACACACTTTCAAGAACACATGCAGGAAATACATACATGTATAATACCAATTCACACTATTCTTCCTCAGTATGACGAAAAAATCGCAGTTAAATAGCAGTCAAAGAATGTAAAAATGTAATATCTTCATAAATTATATACATTTGAAAAAGATATAAATCAGATACAAGTTCTGTTGATGAAGATATTTTTCATGTAGGTCATATATTTAAAGGTAAACAAGTTTTCTTTCTTTTGCTGCTATATCCGTTTTCCTAAATTCTTCCCAACAAGATACATTTATGCAAAGTTACACTCTAATTTTTCAAATAATGCCTTAGAAGGAGCATAAAAAGACATATCCTCCTCTCTTTTGTGGTGCCTATTCTACATGTACAACCTGTTTTCAAAGGAAGAAATTTCTTGATTTTCCGAATAATTTGTATGTTAAAGATTTGCAGACTTTTCCCCCAAGTTTTTTCTGAAATTATTGAGGTGTTTGCCAGAGACATGTAAACTGAGATTTGGTTATTTAATTTCGATTTCCTTTGTTTAGTACCCATCATTCTTCCCATTTTCCCTTGTGCTCTCTATATTATTTTCATAAATATGCAGAGTTGCGTCATCAGCAAACCTCCCCTTTTAATATACCGTTGTGTCACGAATAACAACCCATTGTGTCCTTTAGCACGTACAAATGGTTAATTTTTCTAAATCGTTTCCTGCACATGTTTGCCGCCTGAAAAAGTAAGCCTCTCTGTAAAACTGCCAGAGGTTTGTGTACTGGCCGTTGTACACTCAATTTTTCTTTTAGACCTCAAGGGTGATCTTACCCCAATTTTCCTTTTGTACATTGAATTTCATAGACTGATGTTATACTTTTTTCCCAACACATATACTTCAGGTCTTATTTTTACCCCTTTTCCCTTGATATTTTAGAATAGCCCTCATCCTCAAAAGTAATGGTGACACTCATTATTTAACTTAACTTTCAAATAGTCTGGTATATGCCATCTTCTGTCATCTTTCATTATAACTTGTAACAAATGAATTTGAAAGTCCACTAAAAGAGTCAAAAATTGTTGACTTTTCCTTGTGTAGCTTTTAAAAAATTAATGTCTTATCTGAATTGTATTAATCTGAATTAAGACGTAATTATGTCCTTTTTCGAAATACTAGTATCGTACATTGACATACAAAAAACCTTTTTCCCGTGTACACTTCAATACTCCGGGGACTTTGACTTCATGTGTATATTTTTTGGACTTTGACTTTATGTGTACATATTTTGCTACCTTTTGGGGAAAAGGTTTTATGAAGGTTTATCATATTCGTCTCAATATCCCAATTTTTTTTTCTTTAAAAAGAAGAATTGTCAAAACATCAATGCGAAAAACAACTTGGGAGTTTTCCATCCACAAAACAGTTTTCTAGATCTGTTTTTATCGCTTGAACACCAGATATAACATAAATGAAACTCAAACTGTCTGCAAGTTTTTATTAAAAATATAGGCCTAGAACTAAAAATAGTTACTGTAGACAAAGTGATAAATAGCTATTAGCATCGAAAAAAATATACATGTAACTATTTAAATGTAATCTACATCTTACAATTATAAGTGATCAACATAATTACAAAATTGATAAATAAGGCATTTCAGTAAAAATTAATCTTTCAAAAGAACATCTTCAAGAGCATTTAAAAAACCTCTAATTTCTTGTTGACGATCTTCCTTTTTTGGTGGAGGTGGACATCCTGGGGGCAGTGGGTTGCCACGACCCAACTCTTCTGGGGGCGGACATTTAGGAGGTGGTTGATCTTGTCGTTGTTCCTTTGGTGGAGGTGGACATCCTGGTGGCAGTGGGTTGGCAGGACCCAACTCTTCTGGGGGCGGACATTTAGGAGGTGGCTGATCTTGTCGTTCTTCCTTTGGTGGAGGTGGACATCCTGGGGGCGGTGGCTTGCTAGGATCCAACTCTTCTGGGGGCGGACATTTAGGAGGTGGCTGATCTTGTCGTTCTTCCTTTGGTGGAGGTGGACTTCCTTGGGGTGGTGGCTTGCTTGGATTCAACTTTTCTGGGGGCGGACATTTAGGAGGTGGAGGATCTTGTCGTTCTTCCTTTGGTGGAGGTGGACTTCCTGGGGGTGGTGGCTTGCTTGGATTCAACTTTTCTGGGGGCGGACAGTTTGTTGGCGGTGGTGATGGCTTTTCTTGGTTTTGGCGTTGTTGTTGTCTTGGTGGAGGTTTGTCTCCTGAGGGACATTTTACACTATCTTGTGTCTCTTGTATTGGTTCCTGAAGAATATCATTGATTTCAAATTCAAATTGCATTAATTTTAAATCTACACAATGCAATTCGAACAATAAATCAGATTTATTTAACTTGTAGGTGGATATTGTATTAATGATATAATAGAATGACATATAGTATTTTCAATTCATCTTCAAATAATGCATATGAAGAATCTGAAAATCTTTCAGTTTTAGAGATGAAAATCTTTTAGTTTTAGAGATGCCTTGCAAATTAAATCCAACTTCCTTAAAACAACCCCTGCACCATCCAGGCACACAGACCCATGTTGCAACCACTATTGAAATAACGACCACTATTGAAATAATTATATCAATAGTGGTTGAGAGTGCATTTCAATAGAAAACATACTTAGTAACCACTATTGAAATACGACCACCATTATAATTATATCAATAGTAAATGAGAGTGCATTTCAATAACAAACATAGTTAATAACCACTATTGAAATACGACCACTATTGAAACAATTATATCAATAGTGGTTGGTTTCAATGTAAACATAGTTAGTAACCACTATTGAAATACGACCACTATTGAAATAATTATTCAATAGTGGATGAGAGTGCATTTCAATATAATAACCATAAGTTTCAACCACTATTGAAATACGAGCACCACTGAAATAATTATTTAATAGTGGGTGAGAGTGCATTTCATTATGGTAACCATAGGTTTCAACCACTATTGAAATACTACCAGTATTGAAAGAAAAGTTTCACTGCGTCCGCAACTTTTGAAATAATTATTTCAATATAATTATATTGGATTCATTGTTCAATGCACTATTGAAATCAATAACTTAATCCGTATTGAAATCGTTATTTCAAAAGTGAACATTATTTCAATAGTGGTTGCAACCTATGTTTGTTATTGAAATGAATCTCACGCACTATTGAAATAATTATTTCAAAAGAAGTATTTCAATTGTGGTTACTATCTATGTTTGTTATTGAAATGCACTCACACCCACTATTGAAATAATTATTTCAATAGAAGTCGTATTTCAATAGTGGTTACTATCTATGTTTGCTATTGAAATGCACTCACACCAATTATTGAAATAATTATTTCAATAGTGGTCGTATTTCAATAGTGGTTATTATCTATGTTTATTATTGGAATGCACTCTCAACCACTATTGATATAATTATTTCAATAGTGGTCGTATTTCAATAGTGGTTACTAACTATGTTTGCCATTGAAATGCACTCTCAACCACTATTGATATAATTATTACAATAGTGGTCGTTATTTCAATAGTGGTTGCAACAGACCCAATTTCCGGGAAGAAATCGAGAAAAAATACCGTTCAGAATCAATATACCGGTACTTTTAATTGTCACCTCGTTTGTTGAGAAAATCCTACTTTTGAAAGAGTTCGTAACGTCTCAAGTTTCAGTACAGAATCTTTTTTTATTTTGAGTTTAGTTTACATACCTGTGATTTCTTCTCAGATCTAAGTTTGAAGTGAAAGGATCTCGCCGAAACCACAGAAACACCCAGCAACAGAATATACACCCATCCCTTCATCTTGCTTTTTCTAATGTCTAACTACATCGATCTGCCGATCTTTGCTGCTTTTATACTGTTGAATTTTGATTATGATGAGTTCGCCGAGTGCTAGAAATAAAATCACCCACTGATTTTAAAATTACTTCATAAGCCTATTAAGAAAAATTTGAATTCAAATTGTGAGGCGAAAGTTAATTTTTAAATACGTATCTTTATGGAGAAGTTTGGTATTTAAAAAAAAAAAACTGTGATTAAAATGAAATTGAAAAGTTTGGCTTTTCAGATATTCGTCGTTATTTCGATGCAACATTCAGTCCAGAAGTTAAGTATAAAAGATATAAAAAGAGGGGTTGAATAAATAGAAACGTGGTCAATGCCAGTGGCGTCGAAACACCATGAGAGGTTATAGGGTGTATAGCATCATGCTCAGGGGGATTTAAAAGAGTTGCAGGTAAATAGATGTGGAACAAATGAGATCAACTATAATTTTATAAAAGCCAGGTTCTAATTCTATTTACAAACTTGATGGATTAAATCTATATATGTACCTACGGAACATGTCAATAACATCTCTATAAAATGACTATATACTAAATGTTAAATGAGGTTTTCATTACTGTAGGACAGGATGTGTGAGAAAAGATTAACCTGGTATAAATACCGGTATTCCAAAGTGATGTTAAAACAGTTTCTTTTATATACATGTACATGATATCTGAAGGAACATTCAAGGGAATTCTAATACATGTACGTTTATTTAATAATGTACATCTTTTAAGGGTTTATTAAGTTCTTAAACAACTGCTAAAGTGACAAATATTCCAAACAGTATTATAACTTAATCAATTCATCAATATTCACTAGCAGATTTCAAATGCATGCAGATATTTGTGTATATAAAGCTGAAATAAACACAATATTTTATTTTTTTTTATTGGTTAGTACTAGGACTTTAATATTTCACAGGTTTATTCCTTGTGAGAAGAACTTCCATTGGATACCAACAATTTTGATCATTTGACCTTGGCCATTTAATTTAACTTGCATTTGAGAAATTTCAACAATCGCCATAAGCTGCCATACGGGGGCATCAGTGTTTCACAAACACATAAATTTGAAATAATTCAGGGCATTCTTGTCTTGAAGAGCTGATCATATTTAAAGCAATATGAGCTGCAAGTTTGAAATCGGAAATTTTTCTTGCAATATCGTGCATCTAATTAACTATTTAAATGAAAGAAAAAAATATAAACGTCTATATTCTTTATATTTCAGACAGATGATCTATCTATATGCTTTGGTTGAAGCAAAATTAAATTATTGTCATCCTGTACAATATTGATTTATTCATTTAAAATAAAACTAGACATTCCTTTGTAGAAATCTTTCTTCTGAAAACAAAAATAATTCTTTATATCAATGTTATTAAACATAACGGTTTAAATTACATACAGATTTATCATAATAGCATATTTTAATTTGCAAAATTAATTTCTCCAAAACGCATCTCATATCTTTTTAAGATATTAACCTCTTTTTTTTTCTCTTTTTTTATGAATCCATTGAAGCCTCCAAAGCATCATAGATAAGATCAAGTCGGGAACTTGGCTTTACATAATTATACATTTCTTTGATAATAACCCCTTACCTAATACATCAATATTAATATTAAATTAATTATGTTTACATGTAAAAGATTAGTTCACATCAACAAACTTTGTTTACCCCTATAGCGGTTGGTTCTGTGAAATTTTGAATTCAAAATTAACAGAACTTTCGATCCTTAAACTATACATATATGTGATGTACATGTATATATACAATTTGCGGTTGTTATCAAAAGCTTACGTCTAATTGGATTTCATCAAAACATTTTAGTTTATCTAAGAAATGTATAGTTTTACGATTTGTAAAAATATGATAATTAACTACTTATAACTATTGTCAATAAAATTATGTTAATTAAATATAATTCTACATTAATCTGCGAAATATTTTCTAATGAACTATTTAGAACTTAGCTCAACTAAACGGTAAAGGAGAGATAACTCTCTCTTTCTCTCTCTCTCTCTTTCATAGAAAAATATCAGCGTTTTTAAGAATTCGCGTTAAAAGTTGTTTAATAGTATATGTTTTGCATTGAGTGCTACAATTACACATGTATATATAAAAAAAAATTATGATCAACTTGGTTACATTGAATACAGGCCTACATGAGTTGCTTTTTTTTTATTCGGAAAGTCATTGATTGAATTGTTTCCAACGGGGAAAAAATGTATTTTTCTTGTTGATATTTTTATTAGATCGATATCGTGGTTAATTCCATAAACATCAAATAAATTCCTTCACTTTTATGCATCCTATTGCATCAGGTTGACGCATGTATTTAAGTAATGGGTATAAAATGCACAGTTTGAAAAACAAATAATACAAACATGCAGTGAAGCTAAGGCGGAAAAACAGCAATGTTGTTCATTTTGGTACTACTTCTTGGATATTTTATAAAATTTGGTAAGATCATTCTTTTTGTGCCTGTTTAAATTGAATCACACATTTTTCATACCTATATCGCCTTCATAACTTCATTTTGAGTAAGATTACCAATTATATTAACAACCTTAGGAAAATATTCTGCTTGTTTCAAAAACCTTATTCCGAAAAATAAATTACAAAGATCATGCAGGATTCCACCAAGTTTGTATTCAAAAAATGATTCATCGCCTACATTTTTTATTTATGTCCCGAATATCCAATCAAAATAAAAAAAAAATCACATCTAAACCGAATTTTGATACCCCAATCTGCGAAAAAATCGCTATTAATAAGTTTTAATTCAAATTACATTATTGTCGTCCTATACAATAATGATTTTGAATTAAAACTTCATATTCATGGATTGTAGAAAAATCTTTCTTCTGCTTTATTTAAGTCTTATTGATCAGAAAGGTTTCAGTAACATACTTTATCATTTTGACACATTTTAACAGCAAAATAAAATATTCAAAGATGCAGCTCATATTGCTTTAATGTAAGCTTTTGCTAGTGTCTCCGTGTTTATTGCAGCCGGGATGACCGGACTGCTCTATACATATAAGTTCACTTTGAGTGTTGGTATATGGGGATTGAGGTGGGAGAAGTTATTAAGAATTAAAGGTTTTCTAAGCATTAAAAAGATTGTCAAATAGCATGTTCTTTCCCTTTATAAATTACGAGATACATGAAATATTTATTTCTATAAAGTGAATTTGTAAAAATAGATATGTTTTTGAAATGTAATATATATATAAAGTTGCTTATCATTTACGTTTAAAAAAAAAAAAAGACAGGTCCCTTTTTTAGAACATCGAATTTTACTTTTCGCAGAAAAAACGTACTTTACAAAGTTCGTATTTTAAATTCTTAAAGTGAAATGCATTTTGAAATAAAGGTGATGCATGTGCCTGGTGTCCATTCAATATATTTTATGCAGACAGCATTTATACTTGAGGAATTGATAAAGTTTAAAAAGGTATCGTTTTTGTTCGATTTTATCCGACTTTAACTTTAAGTATTCAAAATAGTCTCTACTATCGTCTCCATCATTTAGACGCATGCCTTTTTCACATATATCGAAGCGGTTTGATGATCAAAACTCATTTCCATTGTTTACTTTATTTATTTCCCGGGCGACAATTGATGGTTACATCAATGTTTTCTTGTTGATAATAGATACGGGTGTATGGCTTTAGTTACTTACTGAAATCAAAGATTGAATGTCTTTGATCAAATTGTTCAATTTTCAACTTCCATCACTTATTGTACACACTGTATACCGGAATATACCTTATTACCTCACAAGCATGACATGTATGAGGTTTATTTCCCTCATGCAGTTGATTCGATATACAAGAGCGTGCTCTACCAAAAACAAACAGAGCAAGCTATTGACACTTTAACAAACTGATGAAATAATGATACCCCATCGGGCATTCTCGTTTGAATTCGTTTTCGCAAAATTGATGGTCGATACTAATATTTTGTCATTAAATATACCCTATCATTAATTTCAATGCTGCAAGGTTGATATTTTTCAAACAAATTATAACGTCATTATTTACACATTGAACTGTCTACGAATTTTTTTTTCGTTTTCCCCAATCACGACATGGAGTGTATGGCGATGCGACCGATCGGCAGGGAATGATCACTCTTCCGTGGCACTTGATCCAACCTCTGATGTCTTAAAGGTCTATATGATTGCTCTGCTCCTGATTTGTATTGCTTGCATTAACATTTGAGCTCGTATACTGTTCTTATCTCCATATATTTCATTATACATTCTTATTCTTCCTTTAAATCACAATCCACCTTCTCATTTAATGTCGTGTTTGTCACCATGTACACTTGCCAAAAGGGAAACAACGATCTATTCATTATGATAAACAGTAAATTACGTTACCAACGAATGAACGACCCTTGTACCTTTAAACATGTTCAATTGTCGACAAAAATGTAACAGAGCTGTCTAAACTTGGAAAATGTTTTCATAAATGTACAAGATTGATAGCAGAAGTTAATTGACATTGATATAATTAACGAATTTATCCTCACTACTACTAATACTAAATTTATATTATTGTGCTTTGTCTGCTTTATGAACTTAGAATGAATCATTTGTAAGATTTTTTCTATGATCCTGCTTTACTTCATGTACAAATGATATTGAAACTGTTATACACATATTGTACAATCTGATTTATGTATATACGTTAAACCTATGAACTCATTTAACTGTATTATAATGGTTTTTTGTAATCGGCATCCTGAAGCAAGTAGAAAATTTTCTGCAAGGAAGAAAATATATATGATTATGTAATAATTTCAGTCAATATCGCAAACCAGGTATAGTGTTGGAAGTTGATAAGTCTATAATAGCTTCAAATTAACTAGAATTGGCTCAAGAGTCTTCCTCATTAATCAGAATAAAGATAACATCGTTCGAATTTCCTCTCTGTCCCGCCATCGACAAAAAAGCATGG